TGTATTTACAAGTAGAATACGTCCAATCAGATTGGAACGCCGGGTATACTACTCCAACAGTTATGTCACTAAAAAATGAGACATGTCTTCTTTTCTCATTCCAAATATGCCTCCGGATCACTTCTTCCTTGGAATGTGAAAATATTTAGTCCATGATGTGGAGGCTTATATACCTCCTACTTGTTAGACTCGGGTCGGTTGAATCAATGCTTGTCGTGTCTCCTGTGAGATAATTGTTCCAACCTCTCCAACCGATAGGTAACGTTTTCAGGAACAACTCCAAGCCTTGAAAATTGTTGTTGCATAGCTTGAATTGTTATGTCATTTACCACATAGGTTTAACTATCCTTCATTTCTGAATTATCATAAGTCACTCGTGTAGCACTCAACATAGTCCTCACAACATTTTTGTTTCACTCGTAGGCTTTAATCTCCCTTTAAATAAGCTCACACACACTCTTTCCTTTTATCACTACGAATTCTCTTTCGTAGGCTCAATCAAAGTTAACCTATCAAGAAACAATTTTGTAGAACAATACAAAGATTGGTTTTTGTTTTTGCACTATCATTTTTTTTATATATATTTGAATGATCATATTTTTCTTTTTAAAGGTTACATATTGTACTGATGGGTTAGACCCATTTTTGGTTCTTCATGCGTCAGAGTGAGGATCTTCATAAGTCCCAACACATCTCAGCCCGACGCGTAAGTTTAGTGAGCTTGGCTCGTGCTTGATCAAGGTGGAGCCCAACTCCCACCATGGCTGCGGGTGGTTCCCATCGAATTCTGACTCATGGCTTGTGGTTTCTTGTCCCCTTAAATCTATTATTCTCCGTTCTTTCGTAAAATCACTTTTTTACAATATTAAACTTCGTCGTAGCTTGATAAATTCAATAAAATTACAAAAAAATACGAATAACTACAATAAAAAAAATCACTTTAAAATTTACATAACAATAAAATATGTGAAAATTCCCCGACTGTTACAAAAATGACTTGAAACATGATCAATATGACACGTGCAAATTACATGCTTTTGAGTGTAAGTATGATAGTATGATTATTATTTTGTAATTTAAAAAGCTATACATATAATTTTATATATGACACCTGCTATAAACATTTCTGACCATATGTGACCTTTAATTAATTAACATATACATGGTTTCACTAATATATAAATGAATTGGCACAATTTCGCTATGAAACAAACAATTGGCTCCACTTGCCTTGATTGTTATACTAATTAACTTTGACATCTGTACACATGAACGTGTAGTTAATATCAGTGTTCTAAAACTCACTAGGCACCCGCTAGGCGCTCGACCAGCGCCTAGCGCCTAGGCGGGGCATAGGCGCCTAATTTGGGGCCTAGAAATTATTTTTTATTTATTTTAACTACCGACAAAATAAAACTATCTCAACTTATAATAAATCGACATACCTAAGTCCAAAGAATAATATTATTATATTTAAAGAAAACATGAGAATAAAATAATGTAATTAGTATTAAAAAAAAACTGAAAATTTGTCGCCTAGCCGCCTAGGAGCGTCTGCGTCCACCTATGCCCGCCTAGGCGCCGTGATGAGGATCGTGTATCCGCTCAACTCGTTTTGCCTCGAAACCCACGCCGACGCTTGATTTCTAAGCGATAGGTTGCTAATACGCGCGCCGACGCCTTCATACTTCGCGTTTTTGTGAAAAACTTAGATGTTGGTCCTATTTCTAACACGATCTTGTATGTTGATTTCTAAGCGATAGGTTGCTAATATGCGCGCCGATGCCTTCGTACTTCGCGTTTTTTGAAGAAACTCAGATGTTGGTCATATTTCTAACACGATCTTGTATGTAAACTCACACGAATTAACACACGAGATTGGTGAACAAACGTTCAATTTTTATTAACTTCTCAATTATAAAATTCGAATAAGCACATAGGTATTTATAGAAAAACTAGATCTAGCTCTAAAAGAGGTATAATTCTAACTAGAAAATAATATCTAATCATAAGACTTGACAAAATAAATAAAACTCCTAATCTAAACAAACTCATGCAACTAATCCTACTAAACTAATATCACGGCTAACTATCACTACAAGAAAATAGAGTTCGAGTTAAGAATTTTTTTGTCACTATGTTGTCACTATATCTGCTGTCACTATATCTACAGTTGTTGTCACTATATCTACAACAATTGTAGATATAGCGACAATAATTGTAGATATAGTGACAACAATTGTAGATATACTGACAGTAGATATAGCGACAACAATTGTAGATATAGTGACAAAAAATTTTTTCACTACAACTCTATTTTCTTGTAGTATATAAATACTAAGCTAATAATCTATGACCTGGCAACTAAATATCCTACCATATATACTAACTCGCGCCTACTAACTAAATAAACCAATAAATACTAACCTAATCAAATACCTATACTAACGGTACTAACAAAACATCTAACAAATTGATTATGCTAACTAATATAAGAAAATTAATTAATTAAACAAATAATTAATCTAATAAAATGTCTCCTAGAAACTCCATTTGTCTTGCCCGTCAAGTAACACTGCGTCCATGTTTAAACCTCACGTCGGCCGCGCACCGTGCGTGATCTTCGGGCGTGCGCCATCGTATTCAAGCCCGGGCTCGTCTTTTCGACCATGCATGCATTATTTCGCGCGTTCGTGCGGCCTCGCCCGATCGCTTCCCCTCTCGATCCTTGGCGTCCATGAACATCAGAATCTCCATTCTCATCACGCCGCTTAATCGCCTGGCCGCAGAGCCCGCCAAGTCTGCCTATGAGCACCTAGGGCTGCCTAGGCCCGCCTAGGCGCCTGATCGATTTTTTCTGCCGATTTGTACAAAATAGAGTCGTTTGGGCACCGCCTAGCACCGTGACGATTGCCTATGCTGATTTTTAAAACAATGGTTATTATTATTTAATACAAATCTAAACACTTATAAATGCTAAAAATAGAATGTAAAATATATTGTTGACAATAGTTGATGGTATATAGTAATGAAAATCCCGTTAGAGGCTCTTGACCTCATTTTTTTAATCATAAAAAGACTTTCATTTTTTATTTATCTCCTCCACTAAAAAATCTTATTCACACAAACAAAAGAACCTTTTTTTTTTAATTTATTCTTTTGTTTGTTTTATTTCTTGATATTTTCATTAAAAAAAAAATGAGGAAATAGTTTTCAAGCTTCATCGCTGCAAATGTGAAAAAATAAAATATTTATTTTCATTTTTTTAAGCTTGCAGCATAGGCTTTGACCCTTAGATTGAAGCTCCAAATTCACAAAAGGTAAATGTCTTTATCTCTCTCTTTTTTTCTTACCATTTTAGATTTGCTTTCGTTTATTAATTAATCATCATAATGTTGGATCATTGATTAAAAAATCACATACATTTTCTTTTTTTCTTACCATTTTAGATTTGCTTTCGTTTATTAATTAGTCGTCATAATTTTGGATCATTGATTAAAAAATCACATACATTTTGCGTTTTTAATCGATCTTTTACATTTTTTTTAATAATTTCATGTTGTTATTTGGGTTCATTATTTCAAAATTGACATTTCTTTGATGTTATGATATATTTTAATCAATCAATGATTCTATAATCATTGCAATTTTTAAATGATATATTTGATGTTATGATATATTTTCTATCAATCATTCATGACCAATTTGCATGAAATGTTATACATTTTTCATTGTGTATCTCAACTAAAGTATCAATTAATATGATCTAACCCTCTCTAAAAATGCCAAAAGCAACTAAATTCATTTGGTTATTATATTTCAAATGTCCAAATGACTAACATATTTAAATTCCTCTTTTGACTAAACCTTGCTAAGTACTTTACTAATTTTGCAATAATACAATAGATAATATAAGAATATTCCTTTATATATAATTTTTGAATGTGCTGAACCTAAGTAGCAGAGTTGCTCGCTTTGGGATCATATGTGATAAATTTTTAAGCTTTGTTGTTTGGCATAGAATTTTAATTTATTTTCAATCTAAAAGTAAGTAGGTTTGGAATATCCATAAACATATTGGATATTTACGGTTCTTTTTAAGAGTATTAAATCATGTTTCAATATTATTTTATATTGTAATGTGGTCTATAAATTATAAGGTTTATTTTTTTCCAAATCTTTTTTTTCCTCATATTTCTTTTAAAATTATAACAAATTTACTAACTTAAATTATAAATATATTTAAAAGTTAATAAGCTTTTATCAAATTTTCATATATAATATATCAAATTTATCATGTCTTGATAAGTTCCGATTTGACATCTATATTATACATATAAAATACACAAATTCGTTAAATTAAAATTACATATTAATATTACTTAAAAAATAAAATTATTGAAACTAACTTAACCATAATGTAATCTGTTATAAATTAAAAAATAATAATAATAATATAAGACGATAAGTCGTGTAAGTGACGATTTCATTTTAAATATAACTAATAATATATTTATTCAAAAAAATATTCAAAAACAAAAAACAATTCTGTCAGAATTTATAGCCGTTAGATCAACTATCTCCGACGATTACATGATGATCTAACGGTTACCAACAAAATTTGCCTTTACACAACCCAAATAATTATCAGGATTTATTAAATTATTAGTCATCTGCTACTCTCCTCCGCCAGCCATCGCCGATGAGTTCATCAATGCCGGCGTTCGGTCTCGGGCCTCTGATACTCACTTTCATCCATACAATGCTTCCAATTAAATACCAAATATGTGGGATTTCGATTTCAGAGTCGCCGGTTTCGAATTTTCATGAAACTAAAATATTCAACAGCAGGTTAATCTTCTTGCATCCTCGTTTCATCTGCTTGGGCATCAGAGGACCCGACATGAATTTACAGTTTTATGAGTTTCGAATGAATATAGAAGCCGGAAAGTGGGATTGGAAAATCTAGGTCGTCGTGTTTCTTCGTAATTCTTTCCTACCTATGGTTTTGATTGCTGGATTCCGGCTGAATTGTTCATTCTTTCCTTATTTGAGGTTTATATTTGATTGATTTTGAGATGGAACTCCACTTTGCCTTCGTATGGGCTTTTCCCGCTTTTGGTGTGCTTCGTGTTAGTGGGACCGCACCCGTTTCCCCAAGTTTCTTTCACTATTTATCATCATTGTCTACTTTCGCTTTCTTCTTCATCTGGCCAACTAGCGTGGTTGTAAACTAATTGGTGCCCATTATTATCTGTAAGGAAAAGATGTAACCCATTGTTTGAAAACTTTCTTTTGTTAAGTGGACAGTTTTCTGGCTGGATTTCACAGGATGTATGAGTTACTAATGCATTATGTTAGGTTCTTATTGCAGTCAAGCATTGCTAAACATTGTTGAATTACCTTTTTTTTTTCTATCTTGTTTATTCTATTTGGTCATCTCTCGAAAATCTGAATTGGGCTTTAATTTGCGCCGAGTTATGATTTATATTTTCTTGCACTTGTTGCAGGCCTGATGAAAATGCGTGCACCCAAGAAATGGATGAAAGCCATCCTCGGCATAAAGAAATCCGGAAACTCTCAATCCTTGGAGAAGGAGGATAATGTTGGTGACGTTTTTCGTTACATTTTTCATTTTTACACTCTCCGTAAACCTAAACGTTTTATGCAAGGGGACACTTTTGCCTTTCTACTAAATGTTGTTTTAAAGCTATGTTAAATGGGAATGAGAAGATAGCTACACAAAGAAGCACGTGGGAATAGTTTTAGTGAATGGGTTCACAAAACCGTGTTGTGTTTCATTTTCTGGAGTTGACTAAACTTTCTGTGCTCTTGGATGTTTGATCCCAAGTATATTGTGCCTTCCTTGAGACTCCACTGAATCAACATGTGGTTTAGTTACATGCACACACGAGTTTAGCACTTCTAATTTTATCATGATATTCATATATTTTCTATGTAACCTAACGAGTATCTTTTGGCTGTCATTTAATAGTTACAATTCTATATTGATACTACAGACAAGTTTAAATGAATGGGTATGAAAATGATCATCTTTTGAAACTTCTGTCAAACAGAGTTCAGGAAGTACAGCGAAGGATTGGCACCAAGAGAAGCACTCTCTTGAGACTGATGGCAATATTCTTGAAGATGAGTTGAATACAAAAGTTGTCACAAAAACCGAGAATGCATCGGATTCAAATATCCAGTCTGAGTCTGCTTTGAATTCAGCTAGAATCCCAAGCGAAAGGAACCACTCTATTGAGATTGATAACTGTACACTTGAATACTTGGAAAATGAGTTGAATCATAACGTTATCACAGATGCTGAAGAAGCCAAAAAGGCAAACTTTGACTTGGTTTCAGATTCACCTAGAATCTCATACCAGAGGAAACACTCCCTTGAGTTCAATGAACATAAACTTATAAATATGTTGAAGCAAAACGTGATCATAGAAGCCGAATATGCCAAAGAGGCAAGCTTTGAGTTGGTTTCAGATTCACTTAAAATCTTGCACAAAAGGAAGCACTCACTTGAGTTCGATAAAGATATAAATGGAGATGAGTTGAACCATAATGTGTTCACAGAAACCGAAGATGCTAAATATTCGAAATTCCAGTTGATTTTGGATTCGATCAGCTCACCATCCACACCACTTGAGGTGCAAAAAGTGGATCAACTTGAAGAGAGTGTAAGAGAGGAATGGGCCACTCAGTTTCAGTGGAAAATGAGGGAAGAGTGGGCTTCTCATGTCAAGCTGAATATGAAAGAAGAATGCGCAGCCGTACGCATCCAGACAGCTTTTCGGGGATTTCTGGTATAATAACCGGTTCTCTTATCTAATATTATTTAACTTACTTGCTAGTCTTGTTATTCTTCTTATACCATTTTCATCTTCAACATAGCACTTGACAGATCTTTCATTTTTAATATGCACTGATACACTTCGTCTTTAGTTCATGTCTTCATGAGATTAGAACTTTATTAGATACTCAATGGAAATGCTTACAGTGGCATTAGAGGTTGATGTGGTTTTGATTAGCATGTGAGTTATTTTGCCTCTAGACAAGACTAATATGCTGGTACTAACATAATTCATATTTTCACACTCGAGGATATGGAATATTATGGCTCAAGTCTTAATTTGCAATTGATGTTGCATTGATGACATGCATATGTATTAGATGACAAATTCTTGTTGATTGATCCTTATGAATAAATGTTGGCAATTATACCTCCATAATATTTCTCAAACACATATGTTCCCAATGACTTAAAAGGCTTTTCAAAGTTTAATCAAATGAATTTTGTTCTATTATCTGCGTATATAACTATATATGATTTGCATATCATACACCATTTATTTTAATTTGTGGACTCATCTTATTTGAAATTTTGGCAAGTGTGCATTAAGGTGGGATTTCAAAGTTGTTTTATGCATGTAAGCAGGAGTATAGTTAAACTTCTGTGGCATCTTTGAGTCACTGCTGTTTCTTTTCTACTGAAAATTAGTGTTAGAGATGGACAAAATCATGCAATCAACTAGCAGTGTAATATCATTGATGTTTATCTACCAAATGGGAATTATGTAGGATGATCCTTATTTCTGTATTTTGTTTGTATATCAGGCTAAACGATCCTTACGTGCTTTAAAAGGATTGGTGAGACTCCAAGCTCTTGTCAGGGGTCATTCTGTCAGAAAGCAAGCTACGACAACTCTCCGTTGTATGCAAGCTTTAGTGAAATTTCAGGCTCGAGTCAGGGCGAGGCGTGTTCGTGTTGCTTTAGAGAATCAAATAGCACAACAGAAACTTCAAGAGCAAGTTGAAGAAGTGGCTCGTGTCAAGAAAATTGAAGTAAGCATTGTTTCACTAGTAATGATTTTCTTTCTCTGAAAAGAAAACGGCATCACGAGATGCTAAATAAGTTGAATAGTTTGTGACTTACATGTCACTAACAAGTAGCACAGAGTAAACAGATTAGACATCGTAAACTGATAAAGGCTCATCAGTTATCTTATTTGTCACTGTCACTGCTGGCTTTGTTCTTTCTTGCTTTGGGTTTACCTGGACCCTGCTCATGTGAAGTGCCAAAAATGATACAAAGAAGTTCTTTTCAAATGGATAAAGAAATAAGGATATTTCAAGAGGAGTTAGAGAATAGATTAGAACTATATGGTTTCTTACTTGTCATCCATCAATTTTGTTTGGATAGTGTGAACTGGATTGGAAGAACATTATTTTTATTGCTAATATCATTGTTAGTGTGAAACTCTGTTATCCTTGTTTAGGAATGGGCGAGCCATGGACATAGTTATTGTTCCGAAGTTGTTTGATATCTTATTATTAATTCATCAAAGCAGTTGCCATATCCAATGTGGTATGGGAATCTTTGTCAAAATATAATAGCATGTGTACGAGCCTTCACGATTTGGGACCTGTCCACTTTTATGGATTGAATAGGAGAATTATTAATACACAGCTAAAACACTTTCACATGCCACTAATTTTTCGACCGTTTTCCCAGGAGGGATGGTGTGACATTGTCGGGTCTGCCGAAGAAGTTCAAGCCAAGTTGTTGAAAAGGAAAGAGGCTGCCGCTAATCGGGAAAAAGCAAAGGCTTATGCTTTAGCACGTCAGGTAACTTCCTTCTTCTTACTACTTTTTGTTCAAACAAACACGTGCCTAAAAAATCCATATGCTTCAGTGGCAAGCGAGGCACCGGCACCAGGTGATAACACCTTCACCCGTCATCTCCAAACCAGACAAAACCAACCCGGGATTTCCCGCCGGTTTCAACCCAGACAAAACCTACTGGGGATGGAATTGGCTTGAGAGATGGATGGCTGTCCGCCCATGGGAAAACCGACTTGTAGACTTCAACCTCAAAGATGGGGTGAGGGGCAGCGAGCACGAACCAGCTGATGTGAATGTGAAGAGGAGCCCCCGCTTGAGCAAGGACAAATCCAATGCCTCGTTTGTAAAGAAGGCTGCTTTTCATTCTGGTAGCAGCTGCAGTCCTTCGCCCAACAGGCAGGGCAAGATGGTCTCTAATAAAGTTACTACCTCGAAGTCCGGTGTTGTTTCGAGATCACACAGTAATCCTAGGGAGAGATCGACACTTCCGGATAAAGAGGGAAATAAACGGCTGTCTCTGCCTGCTGGAGGTCGGTCGCTCTCTCTCTCTCTATCTCTCTCTCTCTCTATGTCTCACTCTATCTCTTTCTCTCTCCAGAAAACAACTTGAATATGGGACAATCACAGCTTACATAAGCCTGGAAATATTTCAGAATTTAAAATCCTAGTTCACATGTGTTTTATTTTACTAAGCAAACCAATGAAGGGGGCTGTGTTTCTATTTAGGGGGCAATTTGTATAACAAATACAGACTTCACATTGGTATTTGTAAAATGTAAATAATTTAATTTCTTGTAATTGCACCACACTTCAGGATAGTTTATGATTATTTATCCCTATATTTAGAGAAACTTTTGTCCACCAAACGTTATAAATGAATACAAAATTTTCAGATAAGCCCATTAGTCTCATTCACATTTTTTTTTTTCAAAAAAGAATCAATTACCACACAATTGCCGAAAACCACTATTCACATACTCAAATACTTCTAAGGGCCTATTATTTTTCAAGTTATTTTTATATTCTATCGACTTTCGTCGTTAAGTTGTCTTCTTATTTGCATTGTATCTAAAAAGTTCACCGTATCCTTTCAAAAAAAAAAAGATAAAAAAATCATCACTAGGAAATGGAAGAAATGAGAGTATATCCAGTCGCAACATAACACTTACACAGCTCAACTTGTATTACTCTTATTGAAATCCA